TGTCCGGTTATCATGAGTTATTTTTTAAAAATTAAATCAAACACAACCCCAATGGGCAAGCTCTAACCAACCAGGTCCAACCTAACTTGAAGGGAGGTTAAAAATTAGAATTTTTTAAAAAACAAGTATTACTTAGAACACGTTCTACTATAGGGTCCAATATTCCATTTACCCCAAAATGGTGCCAATTTTCGTATTTTTAAACAAATTTGTCCAAAACTGAAAAAAACAGAAAAATTGGTGCTTAAAAACACCTTTTGTGAAAAAAAAGAATGCAAATTTTCTTCTCTTGCTAAAACAACCAAATTTACCTAAAATTAACAACACATTTTATAGACTGTTCTGAAAAGGATCAAATAATGCAAAAGTAGCATGACAGCTAACAGTGAAAATATGTTGGTTTAACCAAAGGCATCTCTGATGAATTTATATTTGGAAACTATATCAATGTTTCGATTTATCGACACCATGTGAATGTTTCAGTTTATCGAGACCATGTGAAATGTGAATGTTTCAAGTTATCGAGACCAAGTGAATGTTTCGATTTATCGAGACCATGTGAATGTTTCGATTTATCGAGACCATGTGAATATTTCGATTTATCGAGACCAAGTCAATGTTTCGATTTATCGAGACTATGCCAATGTTTCGATTTATCGAGACCATGTCAATGTTTCGATTTATCGAGACCATGTCAATGTTTCGATTTATCGAAACCATCTTAGTGACATCTAACATAACCTAAATCAACACATTTTAGCAAAAATATATTCTATTCAATTTAGCATTATACACATACATAAATAGAAAATATATAAAGCACAATGTATTTAGGTGAAAACTATTATGCTCAATATCAAAATGATATATATTTAAATAAATTCACAAATAAACTATTAATAAGACTCAACCCCTTAATGAAATATAACCTTATACAGGGATGGATTTACTGGGGGGTGCACACACCCCCCTAGCCCTGGCCAGAGGGGGGGGGGGGGGGGGGTGCTATATTTTATGATAAAGCAAAAAAGACAAAATGAGATACAGTAATTTGAGTAATAACATGAGGATAAGTGAACTGTGAACAACAATTACAATTCAAATAAAGTAGTTGATGGGCGGGCGGCATGACGACACAACTTGGCAGTCGGCACCCTGACCTTATATGCTGTTAGATAGAGTAATATAATGAAAGGGCAGTAGGCAAGTAGGGCACATTGAAGTTTTGTACTGTAATGCTCCTCAAAATGTAAGACAGTAAAGCTGGATGAATGTAAAATATCACATTTATTACCATTTAGACTGCAAATGGTAATGTAAATTAGCTGTGCCGAGCTCTGCACTTATTACATTACTCTGTCCAGTACAAGGTGACTTTACAGTGTTCTTTTTTTATATAAACAATACTAAAATGTTCTTCAACAATGAGTTCGTCATCTAGCATGCAGTGTCAGTATATATTTTCTTTTCCTTATGCAAGTCAAAGGCCACAAGAAATATACAACCTGGCAAACATCTGCCCAAGGTTAATTTTTATCAGCCAATGAAAAGACCATTTCTTGCTGATGATTCCTTTCCGATAATGAATCTTGAATGAAGATCATCTAGCGTCACCAATGAATGGTTTGTTACATATAGCCCTCGTCAACATAATCCTAAGGAGGAATTGATATTAATGAATGGTGATTATGGGAAGCACTACGTATTTTCATAAAGCACACATGGTAATTCTACTTTTCGATTATATTTTAGTCATCCTCAGCAATGGATCAAATTAGACACATTGATAACAGTGCCTTGTATATATATACCCTAGTTGCAGTTAGCTTTTTCTTAATGATGCTATGCCTATTGATAGAACACCGATAATTCTCACAATGCTTTCATTAAAATTAAAATGCCCGGTCTCTCATTTCAACAAATCTGGGATCTGACCAACTGGGCTAATAGTTTGTGCTTCCTTACATGAACAAAATGTAATTTTCTATGCTAATATTATTATGGCTCATTTGAACAGGCCATACAAATCAGGTTAAAATGACCAAGGTACATATTTAATTTGAAGCTACATGTAGGGATTGCCCCTCAGTGCCCTCACCCCACTCCTCCATTGGCAATGCTTGGATGTGAAAAGCCTATTCTTTATAGACCATGTACAAACTTCTTCACATTCATAATTCAATATTTAATATTAAGTTCAATGACTTCAATCAAGTGAGATGCCCAAGAAATATTGTTATAAATATTCCACTATCAAAAAGCTGTCAAGCGAAGAAAAAATGTTGTCTTTGTAAGAAATAAATCAGTTCCAGAGAGGCCAACATCCTGTGGAATTGTTACTGTATTTAACTCAACACAAAATTTTTCTCATGTATTTTTTACACGAGTTGTAAACCAGCAAAATAAAATTCCGTTACAATATACTCCTGAGATAATGAGATTGTACTCTCTCTTCCGGGGAAATAAATAGGAATTGTGTAGTACATACCTTGCTTGATTTAATCTTTAAGTATTCTTGCGTTGAGAAGCAATAAATATTCAAATATTCCGGCGATAAAGGAGCAAACGATTTGAATATTCGCAACTATGAAATATGGCGAACAGGCAAGAGTCGCGGTGCGCAAAGCATGTTGGTACTATTTTTCCCGAACTCGAAGCGAGCTGTTTCGATTATGTCCTTTTATGGACATCGTCGTGTTTCGTTTCATACACCGTTGGTTATTGTTCGTTCTTTGGCGCACAATATCTACAGTATAAATTTTGAATTCGAATCGCATTCAACGGCGTATATGAATATCAGCGTTTATATAATAGCTATACTATGGTAAATCTTTGTGAGGACAGTGCTTGGATATGAATAATGAACATGAATATTAAATATTTGACAAAATTAAAGCTAAACAGTCGATTCTGTCGAAAGATCAAATCGAAGGGAAGAGCGTTGAATATTTGTTGCCAAAGTCCATCTAGATCATGGTCAAGATAGTGCGAATTTCAGGTTGGTAGATTTGTTTGAACGTTTGAGGCGGTCCCAAGAATATTGTTTACATTTTTAAAATACATATCCCTTCTTGTCTGTGTTTTAACAGTACAACATAGGAATGATCATCACTTCTAGTCTTCAATATTCAGTGGTCATATGAACGTGTTTTTTTGACTGAGGCAATGGTTCACACTTCACATTGTTTACAGATACAATATAAGTATACGGCCCTGTACATAAGCCCCCATCAAAAAATCTTTACGAACGAATATAAGCCCAGGGCATATGTTCGGATGTTCACGGTGTGCCATTATATATCTGATTCTGTTGTGTTCTTTGATTGGCAGTAAAAACTGTAATCATTTTAATGGTGTCTGTTCTTATAGTTTTTTCCATTCTTTTAGATTGATGTAAACCAAATGATATATCACTTTTGCATCATGCTGTAGTACATCAAACACAAAAGAACCGGGTTTAAACATAGAGGGTTCAGACAACCTGATAAAGGAGATTGACAGTAGCACAGCTATACAAGAAGGTATATAATCAGTACCATGTAATGTTTTGTAAAGATAAACTCTTTTGATGTATTACATCGCTGCTGTGGGATCGGTTTATCTGCAGTGGTCTGCATGTTACTGGGTCCAAATGCATTGTCGTGAGAAAATTGCCTAAAGCAATATAGTTATAGGGCAGAAGAAACTCTTAAAACTGAATTTAGTTGTTACTACTGTATACTGTACTGTCTAATGAAGTGATTTTAGTCAATATAGATATATACATATGTTGTTGTTGTATATGTATAATTAATATAGCTAGCTATACTGTACACAGGGCTGCCTAGAGAATTAGTGGGGCCCGAGGCAAACCTTCCCTGGGGGCCCCCATGACATTATTATTTTTAAGCTAGACCCAACTAAACCTTAGCTAGAGGTAGACTGCATGTGGAGGTGCTGTAAGTGGCCCTCAATTTCAAAAATGCTCTTTATAGAACCTATTCAATTTTAGGCGCTTGCTCCAAGTTGGGGCCCTATTAAGGTGGGGGCCCAGGGCAATTTGCCCCCCCCCACACCCCCCCTCTTGGCGGCCCTGACTGTACATGTGATTATTTTGATTATAGCTAAATAGAATATGCAACCCTATCGTAGAATGTGTTATATTTTGAGTGTATACCATATTGCTAACCCATTGAGCTGAATTGTGCCCTACTTTGTTGTTTTACTATCAATATTTAAAACATGGCTTGTTTTGGCAAGACATGACATCCTTTTCACATATTGAATTTGACAGAATATCATTTCTGCAATATATCGAAACAATTGATGCCATTTCTTTGATGTATCGAAACCATGGATAGTTTAGAGTTTTCGACATATTGAAAAAATGGCAATCTTTTGATATATCAAAGAAATGGCATTCTTTCAATATATAGAAGCCATGGATAGTTTAGTTTTCGATATATTGAGGAAATTGCAATCTTTCGATATATAATTTGAGGAAATTGCAATCTTTCGATATGTCGAAGAAATGGCATTCTTTCGATATATCGAAGAAATGGCATTTTTTCAATATATCGAAGAAATGGCATTCTTTCGATATATCGAAGAAATGGCATTCTTTCGATATATCGAAGAAATGCCATTCTTTTAATATATTGAAGAAATGGCATTCTTTCGATATATCGAAGAAATGGCATTCTTTCGATATATCGAGGAAATTGCAATCTTTCAATATATCGAAGAAATGGCATTCTTTCGATACCGGTATATCAAAGCATTGGATAGTTTAGAGTTTTCGATATATCGAAGGTGGCATGTGCCATGTTCTTGATATATAATTTTCACTGACTGTGGCTGCCTCCAGACATGTTTTGGAACTATAACATTTTCCTCTTTTTTTTCCCTTTTATTATTTACATTTTTAACTTGCATTTGATGTGATTTTCCTATTAAAACATGAAATCTGTCATTGTCCACATTTGCAATTATTCTTATGTTTTTTACCAATTTTTATCATGTTTGAAAAGGAATTCTTGTTTTCATGCAGAATTATTACATTTATGTATAATTTCTCCACTGTCATGGCTGTATTCATTGCATTTTTTAGTGTTTTCTTTCATTTTTCTCTCAAATTCTGTTAAATAGAATATTGGACCCTATAGTAGAACGTGTTATACAAAGGTATTATGGAAAACATTAAATGAAATTGTGAACCGAAATAAGATAAATAGGATGTTACCAAAAGAATTTAATGGTAATAGTCCAGGAGAAAAAATTACTGATCCAAATGCAATAGCAAATAGATTCAATGACTATTTTGTAAATATTGGCCCAAGTCTAGCAAAAAAGCTCCCGAATTCCAAAACAGCCTTTGATAAATATCTCACTAACAGCTGTAAAAATAGCTTCTTTATTAGTCCAATAACTAAATATGAATTAGAAAATGAGATAAACAATTTGAATTCCAAAAAAAGCCCTGGGTATGATGGAATAAGTTCACAAGTTATCAAAACAGTTGCTACAGAAATTTCTGAACCACTTTCACATGTGTTCAACTTGACTTTCCTCACAGGAATTATACCTGATGATCTAAAAATAGCTCTAGTTACCCCTATTTTCAGGGAAAACGAAAAGAATGAATTTAAAAATTATCGGCCCATATCTTTTCTCACTTGTTTTTCTAAATTATTAGAAAAGCTTATGTATAAGAGATTAATTAACCACATAGAAAAAAATAACATATTAACACAACGTCTGTATGGTTTTAGGGAAAATAGATCCACTGAACTTGCAATCATAGAACTTGTTGACAGAATTACTAAAGCAATCGATAAAGGAGAATACACGATAGGTATTTTCCTCGACTTGTCAAAAGCCTTTGACACAATTGATCACAAGATATTGATCCAAAAACTTGATCACTATGGTATACGGGGAATAACTCAATTATGGTTTCAAGATTATTTAAGAAATAGAAAACAAATTGTTAAATTCAACCAAATTAAATCAAAAGAAATGGTAATTAAGAGTGGTGTCCCACAGGGGTCAATTGTTGGGCCAATACTCTTTCTGCTTTATATAAATGATATTGAAAATTGCAGTAAATTGATTTCATTTATATTATTTGCAGATGACACTAATATATTTTATAGTAACAAGTGTCTAAAAACACTTAGTAATATTATACAAACAGAAATTGATAAAGTTGCTGAATGGTTAAATGTGAATAAATTATCTTTAAATACTACAAAAACTAAAGTTATTTTATTCAGATCTCCAAATAAAAAACCAAGTCAATTAATTAAAATTAACATAAATGGTAAAAATATTGAACAGATTAAAAATACAACCTTCCTTGGTATTATCATTGACGAATGTTTGACCTGGAAAGATCATATAGCTAAGGTAACAAAGAAAATAGTTAGAGCTTCTGGTATAATAGCTAAAATGCGACACTTTGTGAACCGAAATTCATTAAAACTGATATATTATGCATTAGTCTATCCATACTTGATTTATGGCAACTTAACATGGGGTAATACTTATAAAAGTAGAATCCAAAAAATAATGAATATACAAAAA